TTTACTATTTGAGCAGGAGACACCTCGCCCCACCCAGATCCAGGAGGCAGAGGGTCATTCGCAAGAGCCGGGTCTGCCCCATTCTTTGGCTACTTAGTTCCACCACATTACAGTTCCTATAAAGGTCAGAGAAAAAAACTGTTCAGATGGAAGTGTTGTAAAGGTGGAGCATTGCTGGCATGATCTGGATGACCTATATAGCTCCTGTAGGGAGTGGTAAATGATCTTCTCAGCCTCACATAGTCGAACAGTTATTTTTCAGGAGATATATATAAGCCGTATCAAGAAGGATGCTCCATTCCCTGCAAGACAGATTTGCTTACCAACGATGACGCCACTTCTGATCTTCCTGTTGGCCGGAAACATCTTCATACAATCAAGTAAGCCGCCTTCTACTTTTAATTTCCCTGGGAAATTCAGCCCCTCCACTTGTCCCACGTAGCAAGTTGGCCTCACATCCCAGATTTTCACCCTAAAACTCCAGTTTTGAGGTCCTTTCCCCATGCTTCATCCTTGGGATGAGAAATTTCATGCAATGAATGTTTTTAAACTAGCATCTGGGGATTCAGTTTCAGGGCTTCGAGAGATACTCCCCAGAGATGCTTAAAGTCATGCGTATATTTTGGGTGGCCATGTTAGCCCTTAAATTTATCATAGTGTCAACATTTTCTGTTTGTCATATACACACAACACTTTGCGATTGTTAGTGGCAATCCACTTGGTGATATTGCCAGGTTCTGCCCTGAGAGCTTTGAATCTTTGACTGCTTTTCTAACATTTGACGTTGGGATTTTACATAAAGCCACCTTTGATTTAAATATTCAGCATGTGACTGCATTTCACAATTGGCATCTTAAGTTTTTCATTCTTTCTTTATACCAAAGCACAATTTAAAATTACGGATGCATATCACAGATAGATAAACATGAAAAACAAATTAAAATGTTAGAATAGTTTGACTATTTTTGGTTTGTGATGGTCCTTACCGTTCTAGACGTATGCCTGTAGCCAGATTCCAAGGATTTTTATGGGTTAACTCTAAGCAGGACTCAGAGTGTGATGAGACAGTGAAACAGCTCACCTTTTGGACCGCTCAGGGCATGGAGCAGTGGGAGCTATATTCCAGCAATTAGACAACATTCAGCAGATTGCAAACCATCCCAGCCCTGCTCTGAAGCTATTCCTGTATTCCCAGAATGGTTGCTTTAAGAGAGATGGCTCTCAACAGAGCGACTCTTCTCAGTATGATCGGATGCAAATCTTTATCATCGTCGGATTGCAAACATCCTCTTGGTGCAGCACACTATCGCAAGTGGACGGTCTCTACCCACCTGGAAGGGCGGCTGTAGTAGCAGTCCATTGTAAAATGGGGAATGACTTTTCCAAAGCTTAGAAATGTAACGTGCCAGCTTCAAGGTGATGATTCTAACATATAGAGCCCTAAATGGTTCGGAACCTCGTGACCTGGTTGTACCTTGACTCCAGAACAAGGTATCTCCAGATACCTAGCTGGGCCCTTCCCCTCGCTGGCAATGTTTAAAAAGCTTTTTAAAACCTAGCTGTTCAGAGAGGCATTTTATTCTCCTCCATCAACAGAATTCTGATGAAATGATCAGCCACCAGGACTATCATCCCACCACTTTAAATGCTGAATGTGTAGACGTTAAATTCTTGTGATAGTTTATTGGCTTTTATGATGTTGAATTTATTTTTATGTGTGTCGTGATGTTTTATGGTCTTTGTTATGTTCTAAACCACCCAGAGTGACCTTGGCTAGATGTGTGGTTTGTTTGTTTGTTTGTTTGTTTGTTTGTTTGTTTGTTTGTTTCTTTGTTAGTTTTTGGAAGGCAACTCCCCCAAATCCATAATTCTGAAGGTTGCCGTCCAAAAAAGCGTTATTTTCAAGATCCAGACTTACCCAACAGGACTTCCTTGTGGCCAAACTCCAAAAAGGCTCTGATGAAAATCTCTAGCCTAAGCAAATGATATCCACACTATCGTTTTTTTAAAAGACCTCACTTCTCGTTTATTTCTGACAATGCAATGCATCACAAAGCATAGAAGAGCGCCAGCCGCCCCCAAATGCAAGCTTTTCCACTGGTCTGTTCCCTGCCTCCGTCCTTCAAACATTTTCCTTTCTTGCAGCGGGTTCCATCAAGTGCTACACGTGCAACACACAGCTCGACAACGGCAACTGCAACAAACAGGTCGACTGCAACCAAGGTGCCAGAGCCTGCAAAACAGACGTGGTTGGTAAGACTGGTCGGCAGATACATCTCCCTCCCTTCTGTCCAGCCATCTCATCCTCGGTCGTCCCCTTCTCCTCTTGCCTTCACACTTTCCCAACATCAAGGTCTTTTTCAAGGAGTCTTCTCTTCTCATGAGATGGCCAAAGTATTGGGCCAGCCGCTGCCAAATGCAGGCTTTTTCACTGGTCTGTTCCCTGCCTCCATCCTTAAAACATTTTCCTTTCTTGCAGCGGGTTCCATCAAGTGCTACACGTGCAACACACAGCTCGACAACGGCAACTGCAACAAACAGGTCGACTGCAACCAAGGTGCCAGAGCCTGCAAAACAGACGTGGTTGGTAAGACTGGTCGGCAGATACATCTCCCTCCCTTCTTCCTCCCCTTCATCTAGCAGAGTTTGCTGTAGCTCCGTGTACAAGATATTAAACTAAAATCACTTTTAAAGTGTTTTATGGTCCCTTCCCGCTTTTCTTTTCTGGATGATTTTATTTTCTTTGTTGCAAAAAATGGCAGGAAAGAACATCCTTTCCAGGTGCCTGTGTACGCGGGCATATGTCCCACTGTTTTTTCTACTCTGGGGACGGGCTGGTTCTCTCGTTTTGACAGAGACCGCATGATGTAAGTGACATGTGAACCAGCCCATCCTCAAAACCTTGCCACACTCACCTCTCTTTTCTAGGTGCTCTGTTTTGGTTCAGTTCTAGCAGGTGTAATCTCTCTGGAAACTAACCAAAGCGGCTGGCTGGGTGGCCGGCTGGCTCTCCCTTTTGAGAAGCCACTGAACAAACTTAACCATCTTGCTTCTTAACAATCTTGAAAAACAGAAAACTTCCACTCTCCTTTGGAGGGCAAGGGAATAGAGGTTTTGCATTTCTTTTTAATCGCTCCTGACCTATTAGCCATGCTTTGAAAGGATTTTTTAAAAGTCCTATCAAAGCATCACTGATGTACTCTATCAGTTAGCAAACCTTTAAAAAATTTTAAGTTCAAAAAAGGAACAGTTTTGTCATCCATCCGCTCTAAAGCTGAGCTGAGAAGGCATTTCTCATCTAGCCATGCCTTTAGTTTCATTCAATTTATTCCAATATTAGTAATTAAGGTTTCTGCGATTTTAAGAAGCACTGCCAAAGTACACATAAGCTGTCCTCAAGAAACAGCAAACCGAACGCGAGGTCTCTCGGTAAGAGTGCTAATCAAGACATAAGCTGAACCAGAACCCAAAATGTAACACAAGTCCCAACATAAAAGCTACCCGGAATTTTCAGAATTTGCATGCATAATTACGAATATTGTTGAAATACTCAGATTGGCAGTGTATAATTTGATTTCAAGAGCTTCGTTGTGGAAACAGATGTCCTTCGGCCAATCCATTTAAGACAGTGAAATGAAGAAGTAATCTGCAGATTTTCGTCTTGGGTGTATTGTTTCTTTTGGAAATTCTGCATCCAGTTGGTGGCTACACTCCCATGGGGGCTTAAGGCAAAAGATAAAAGGGAGGGGGAAAGGCTGAGGAATATTATCTGGAACATAACTGGCTTCTGCATCCTATAGCACGGAAAGAAGCCTCAAAAGGTGTGGCTACACTGGGATTTGTCCAGGTGTTGGGTCTACTCTGAGATAGCTTAGTTTGCATCTTTTTCCCAGTGAATACATTATGTAATCGCTGGAGCAAATCAGCCTGTCCCCAGAGCATCCCCACCCACACCTTTTTATCTCCCTGTCAGGATTAACTTTTTTTTTAGATGCGGACAGAATGGCACCATTTGGTTCACTTCCATCAAATGCAATTGCTGGGATTGAACCAAAGTTGTTGATTTGCTCCTTTCAGTTTCCCAGTTTCGCTAAGTGCCCCTTAAGCAGAATTAAAAATGTCCTTTGCTCCTCCATGGAGGGTTTGAGGGATAAAGCAAAGGTGTCTGGGATTTTTAAAAGCCTATTTAGGGCAGCACTGAAGCGCCGCAGCTTTCAGAAAAAAATAAAATAATTTAAAAAAAACTTCCTCCCAGGAGAAACAGAAGTAGGCGAGAAGAAGAATTTTGTTGTTGTATTCGAGAAGGCTTTCATGGCCGGGATCTAATGGTTGTTGTAGGTTTTTCAGGCTCTTTGGCCATGTTCTGAAGGTTGTTCTTCCTAACGTTTTGATAGTCTCTGTGGCTGGCATCGTCAGAGGACTGGAGTAGGAACTCTGTCTATACTCTGCCAGTCACAGAGACTGGCAAAACGTTAGGAAGAACAACCTTCAGAACACGTCCAAAGAGCCCCAAAAACCCACAACCACCAATTTTGTTGTTCTTTCTTTTCTTTCATTTCTTCCCATTTAAAGGGAACCAAGCCAAATTTGGTCGCATGTGGTGTGGACGATGGGTAGATGCAAGGAAGCTTCAGCGGGTCTAGAACACAGTGACCTGCTTAGTTTGCGGGGCAGCTAAATTCAGCCATATTTCTCTAATCCTGGCTTTCCTGCCTTTGCCTTCTTATGGACTTCCTAGTCAAATTCAAGGTGTTGGTGTTGACCCATGAAGCCCTACATGGTTTGGGACCTTGATACCTATCAGAGCCTCTCTGTCAATAAACTGCTACCCTTATCATCTGTTCTTCACAGGCCTTATTGCTATGGACGCCTACACTGAAGGAGACCAGGAAGGTCTTGACTAGGAACTGGGTCTTCTTGGTGGTGGCTCCATCTTTGTAGAAATCACTCCCCATCATAGGTTCACCAGGGCCTCTCCTTCCAGGCCTTTTTCAAGCTATTTAAGGCAGAGCTCTTTAAAGAAGCCTTTAGTAATATTCTTCCCCATGATAATTTTTCTGTTGAACCTCCCTTGAATTTATCTCCTTCAGTTGTCACCACATGGCTTTATTGTCACTGTCTTTTATTGTTTTGTTGCTATATCAAAGTCTAATTTTAGTGTTTGTTCGTTGGGAGGGTGGCTGGGTTTTTAACTTTGTTCACTGAATGAACAGGGAAAAAATGAGAAAACAAGACTGAAGGGAGATAGGATAGTCCTTTTCAAATACTTGAAAGGAAGACGTACACAGGGGCAAAATCGGTTCTCGATCATCCTAGAGTGGAGGACACGGAACAATGGGCTCATGTTACAGGAAGCCAGATTTCATTTGAATATCAGGAAAAACTTTTTACCTGTTAGAGCAGTACAGTGGTGCCTCGCTTAGCGATGTTAATCCGTGCAGCAAAAATCGCTGCTAAGCGATTTCATCGCTAAGCGATATTAAAAAGGCCATAGAAGCACATTAAAACATGTTTAATGCGTTCCTATGGGCTTAAAAACTAACCTTATGCAAAAATCCTCCATCGCGGCGACCATTTTCGGTGCCTCTAAAGGAAGGCAACACAGCGGGCAGCCATTTTGTTTACCCGGTGGCCATTTTGGAACCACCGATCAGCTGGCCAAAAATGGGGGCTTTGCGATGATCACTTCCCCGCGGTCATCACAAAGCCCCCGCCAATCAGCTGGCCGAAAATGGGGGCTTTGCGATGATCGCTCCCCGCAATCATCCCAAAGCAAATTTTCCCCATAGGAAACATCATTAAGTGATCGCTTTTGCGATTGCAAAAACAGCGTCGCAAAGCGATTTCTTCCTTAAACAGAGTGATCGCTATGCGAGGCACCACTGTACAACACATGGAACCCATGACTTCGGGAGGTGGTGAGTGCTCCAGCGCTGGAGGCATTCAAGAGAAACCTGGACAACCCTCGGTCAGATCTGCCTTGATTTGGATACCTGCCTTCAGCAGTTGGTTGGATTCAACAACCTTATAGTCCCCTTCCAACTCAATGATTCTATCATTTGATTTTTTTTTTAATACACAGAGAGAGAGTATACACACATACACACACTATATCACAGCAAATGCCCTACTACGCCAGTATACGATTTTAAATGACCCCTACCTATTTAAGTCCAGCCTGTTTAGCCATCCAGTCAAATGCTTCATGGATGGTGCCTACATCAGTGGGAACCCCAGACACCCACCGACCCTCCCGATTTTTTCCATCTTCCCTCCAGGTGTCGTCGGCCTTTTCAACGTCATCACCAAAGAGTGCGCTTCGGAGTGCAACCCGTACTTCAAGGACTTCACGGTGGGCAAGAGGAACATCTCCTGCTGTTACACCGATCTTTGCAACGTCAGCGGGACCCACGCCTTCAGAATGAACGGCGTCTACGTGGCGTTGGCCGTCCTCGCCAGCTTTGCTTGTGTCTTTCTCGGAAACAGGTTGTGAGGCGCGGGACGAGCAGGATCCAGCCAAGCAGAAGAGGAATAAAAATCTAGATTCTTTCCAGTTAAAGCTACATTCAAAACCATGTGTGGGATTTCCCTGTGTAGGTCTCTTGCAGAGCAGTGATGAGGGGTTACTGTGCTTGGAGAAAGGTGACAGATTTTTGTGAACTGCTTATTAGGTAGGAATGACTTCTGTGCCATTCACATATGTAAAGGACAGTGTCCCATTTTGTAGTACCACTTATAGTCTGTCATGGATTAGATTCTGCATTTTCTCTACAAATTTTCCTTTTAATCAAGTTGGGGCCAGTGAGGTATTGATTGACTATTTAGGGTAAAAGCCCAGGGGGCTCAATATCATCCAGGCAGGGCTACTTTCTGCAAAACCGTACCTTATCAAGCTTCAAATCCTCATGACTGTGGCCTTAATTTCTATCTAGGTCAAATCAAACACCATGCCTTATAGGTAGGAGCATTCGAAATGCTTTGCGTGGAACGAAATGACCCCAATCAAAAGTAATCGGAACGCCACATCACTGCCTTTCCGGTCTTAACATTGAGAAAGGCCGAGCAGATTAATCTCACTGGGGCCTCACCACGTGAACATGGGGTCCAGTGGGGATAATAGAGACACATTCTTTTCCAAAAAATTATAATCGTCTAGAAAGCCGTTTCCCCCTTTTAGATGCCATTTTTCATGCAGACTCTGAAAGGCCATGGTTTCAGTAGCCTTTGGTGAAGTTTCCTACTCAACATCTCCTCAAAACCAAGAAATGGATTCATAAATCCACGCACAGGCTGTCACAGCTGAGGATTCATGTGCTACAATGCTCCTTTGTGGAGCCAAAAATTTTTTATCCCTAATGCATTTAAGCACATGGGAAACTATGAAGGGAAGGTCTTGTCCATTTACAGCCATGGTTCCCAACCTTGGGTCACCAGATGTTCTTGGACTACAACTCCCAGAAATCCTGGCCAATACAACTAGTGAGTGAAGGCTTCTGGGAGTTTCTAGAGAAGGTATAGATGATTATAGAGCATTTGATTATTTGTTGAGGGACACTCTGCCAGCCCTCCCTCCATGGGAGACCACATGCATTGTGTTCAGGAGGTCGCAGATTCTATGTTCCGTAGGACCTCTAGTGAAAAGGACCTCCGACAGAAAGGAGAGATCCTTTCTGGACCCATGCTCCACTGAAAAAGAGGCTACAAAGGATCTGGTAGTATTTCTGACACACTCTTCTGAAGTGACCCTAATTCTTGCAGAAGTGGTGGAAAACCCTGTTTGTTATAGCACATGATTTTCCTTATCTGCGTTCCTTGTATTTAGCGTGCTTTGTTTCATGAAGATTGGTGAAAATAAACATAGGTTTAATTCGCAAGGCTGTCTGCTGAGGAAATTCTGATGTAAGAGAGGAAACAGAATGATCGTAGCAAACAGATGCGCCCCATTTAAAATCCACTCTGATCCTAAAATGGAAAGGATGACACGGTGATGCATCTCAAATTTCTAGGGTTTTACCTTTTTTTAAGGCAGTAATGGAAAGGATAATAGGAGAAATAAACTGGAAGGTAAAAACTATGTTAAAATGTATTTGGGAGGACTGGTGAGTAACTGGCCATTTTAAGCAAATGCAGAGGAGTGTGGAAAAAGAAATCAACACGCTTCTTCTTACATGCCATCAGTTCACTTCCCACCCATATCAATTGTACGAAAGACCTAGAATGTACTGTCATGAACAGCCCTGATCAGATTGTGCAAACTCAAGCCTGTGGCTTCCTTTACGGAGTCAATCCATCTCCTGCTCAGTCTTCCTCTTTTCCTACTTCTTTTCACTTCTCCCGGCATTATTGCTTTATTGCAGATTCTCCCAAGACAAACAAGCCATGCAGGATAAATAAGAGGGTTATGCAGGTATCATACTAAGAGGTTTTTACATGCTGATCAGACTTAATGGTCGATCTTGTGTTCTCCTTTGATCAGGCACTTTTATTCTTACTTGTAAGTCACGCTGGAACTACAGTCTATTGAAGGATGCCACAGAAATCCTAACAACAAACAAAAAAGATTTTTAAGAACTCATGTGCGAAACAATAAAGCAACCATTCTTCTTTAGAACTGCTCAGCAATGACCATTGATTAGTGGCAAAAAAAACCCTAACAACAATGTCACATTGGAAATTCAACCAATAGCAGAACAAATTTGATCTATCATTATTCAGGAGAAATTAATGATTTTAAAACAACATCAGAGGATCAGGGGAAGTGAAATTACTGTTTTTGCCTGTCCTTGACCAGTTGTTCTCTAACTTGGGTACACAGATGTTTTTGGACTGCAGTTCCCAGAAATCATGGCCAGGACAGCAAGTGGTGAAGGCTTCTGGGAACTGCAGTCCAAGAACATCTGGGGACCCCAGTTGGAGAACCATTGTGCTAGACTATCACTGATGCACTGAATCACTTAAATTTAAAAATATATATTTTCTTTGCTTTGTGTGTAATGCTGATTGACAAACTGCCTGCAGCATTGATGTCAATAACAATTCACACAAAGGCAAAGATTTTTTTTAAAAAAATTAATCTAAGTGATACAGCGCAAAAGTGATGATCTAGCAGAGGCAATCACTTGTGCTGGAAACAAACTAAACCAGGTCACCCCTACTTGCAGCAAAGACATAGAAGCTCAAAAAGGTGCTCGCAGGCGTGCTCTGGTGAGGAACTGGCTCACTCTAACAATCAGGTTTCTGATTGCCGGAAAAAAAATAAACCAATCCAGCCCCACAGTAGAACAAACAGCGGGACAAACGTCCATCTGATTGAGCCCTAAGTCTTGCACAAGTGCTGAACTCTGCAGGCAGTTATGAGTCATGCAATGGAAAAAAAGAGGCAACGTTCAGCCTGCAAGTCTTAGAAAAATACAAACCCATCAGCAACGCCTTGCCCCGAAGGCCAATTACATACCCTCTGTTTTGTGACCTGAGCAAGCTAAGGAAGGTTCTATAGTTTCATTTAATTCTCCCTGCAGAAAGCGAGGTTTCTTTTATGCCTTCCAGAGGAACAGGACATCCTTGCCTTCTTACAAAACCAAGGCTGTAATTCAATGCAAGCATCAACGCCTCCCCCCCCAGGCACCATCCAGTAAAGTGCACTAAGCCTGCAGAATGATATTGCAGAAATATTGTCATTCCTCTACTCCTCCTTCCCTCCCTCCCTCCCTCAATCCTCTGCCCCATTCAAAATTTCTGACACCTTGTGAAAACCCAAAGAGGAATATACTACTTTGCTCTTGAAGCTACTTCCTACTGAGACTAACTAGCATTTGTGCATCATCATCAATACAGTGGTGCCTCGCATAGCGATCGCTCCGTCTAATGAAGAAATATCTTTGCGACGATGTTTTTGTGATCGCAAAAGCAATTGCTTTGCGATGTTCCCTATGGGGAAAATTCGCTTTGCGATGATCGCAGGGAAGCGATCATCGCAAAGCCCCCATTTTCAGCCAGCTGATCGGCGGTTCCAAAATGGCCACCGGGTAAACAAAATGGCCGGCCGCTGTGTTGCCTCACTTTACAGGCACCGAAAATGGCCACCCCATGGAGGATTTTTGCTTAAAGTTAGTTTTTAAGCCCATAAGAACGCATTAATGGCGTTTTAATGCATTTCTATGGGCTTTTTAATATCGCTTAGCGATGAAATCGCTTAGCAGCGATTTTTGCTGCACGGATTAACATCGCTGAGCGAGGCACCACTCTATATATATTCATCATAACAGTCCCAAGATTTCCAGATGAGGAGCATTTGATGTTCCCCTGAGGTTTCTGGTCTAAAATCCAAGATCAGGAGTGTGGGCCTTGTTGTGTCATGGGATGGGCCTTTGTGACATGCCAGATGTGAAGCACAGATCACAATATAGCTAATATAGTGTATTAAGAGACCTTTAAGGGATGCAACCGGGCAATGTTCCCTCTCATTTTCAGACCCACCGGGTACCCTCTGCACACTGGTTCTGTTGCAACCAGAACCAAAGGGGCTGAAAATGATTGCTATGTGTGCACGGGCAAGGAAAAACACTGTGTGGAGGGAGGGGGGGAGTCCTGGCCACACAAGCAGCCACAGACCTCAGAGGAAACCTAGCAACCAGGGATTCCCCTGCCAGAAGGTTCTTTATATTGCCTTATATAAGCCTTAGACGAGGCTTCTGGAGGACACGGCTGTCCATTTTCGTGATCAAAAATTGTTGGAGTTTTTACAACCTCGCATGTTGCCTGGAGAAAGTGTAGACGAGAGGGACCTTTCTGGGCTGGGGTAACTGTCATTCTGTTCAGCACACTAACCAATCGTTCCTCCCCTGCCTCTGAAGTCAAAGAGAGCCACCACACCTCTCCACTTCAGTGTCTTTTTCCCCTCTCTTTAGTCTGCTGAAGCTTCTTGCTGAAAGCAGTCACGTTTGACAGTTTGCTCTTTGATCTGTTCAATTGGAAGTAATGAGTAAGTTCCAGTTGAGAAGGAAAAGGGGTGGATTACTCTGGGGAATTTGGCTATGCGGATCCCTGCACTTCTGTTGCGCAGATGGAGAAATGTATCCAAAATTTCAAAACTTTGCAATGAAAATTGGTCTTGCAAGTGAGAGGCAAGAATGGGAGGTTACAGCCATGCCCAATCCACACTGCCTGTTCCTGCTTTCAGCTAGTTCACCCACAAATCAAACTTTCTCCCCCATCATTGCTGTTCCATGAGTCATTAGGCAGGACCTGAGACCAGGTAAACATCTGTTATTCAAGCAGCCCATAATGCCAGCCATCTGAGTAGGCTTGGAGGGAAGCCCAAGGTTTACAAAAAACACAAAATCTTTAGAGAAAATTCCCTTAAGGGAGGAAACTCCCGTGGGACATTGTTAACAACTCAGAGGACAGTGGAATACAAATGACAGGGCTAAATAAATAAATCCACCCCACCTCGTCCCTTAGGATTTGAGCAGGCCCAGTGGAACTATGGGAACAGAAAATCTAGGGAGATCAGAAAGGATGGGACCCTGGGGAAGGCTTTTTCCACGCTGCAAACCTTTGTTGCAGGTCCTCCTTCTGTGTGCTCATAGCTGAAGCCTGAGAAGCTACTGTTTCAACTACAACTCCCATGATTCATCAGACAACTAGTAGTTGCTCCACTAGCGGGTGGATTATGGGAACTGTAATCTTAACAAGTCACTTTTTTCCACATTCCA